ATATTAAACTTGAATGGAAATAAGATTTTGAATAAACTGAAGAAACTAGAGCCTTACAAATATAAAAATCAACTCACCTGGATCTTTCCTGATGTGTTCGGTCACGCTCCATCATTTTTTTCTTTATGACGTCGTACATGATCCGTGTGTGGTGTACTTTTTTGTATTTTGCATCAATAGACTAAATGAGAAAGGGTTGCATTTTGTAGTAAAATAATTAAAAGGCCTCTGATTGCATAAAGTTGAATGTGTTAAATGTTTGGTTTTTTTGGCATCAACAAAGATTTTTTTAAACTTCTGAGCACATATTCAAAGTCAAAAACTTTCATCTGCTATGTAATCATGCCATTGATATAATTTCCTTACCAACTTATTGAGAAAAAACAATGAACATTTTCTAAAAATCCAACCTACATTTATATTTTTTCACACATATTTTTTTTTTATAAAATTAATTTTGCTTGACATTTTTGTGAACAACAGATTCATTTTTCTCCTTCTTATTGGCCTATATTTTTTCTTCCTTGATACATCAAATGTTAATCTCTTTCTCTTGATGTCTCTGGATCCCTCTTTTATTCTCTTAATTTTCTTTCTGCTCCAAGAGAAGGTTCATTGACAGGACCCCTTGTGTACTTGTCCACCTCTCACGTCCACCCACACACACACACACACACACACACACACACATTCTAACACACAATAATTTAGACCGTTGAGTGATGTGGTAGGGTAGGGTCATCTCTGCAGGCCTCCATCAATCACACACAGGCACACACACAAATGTAAATCTGCACAAACACATCGGAGGCTGTGGGGATCTGTACTCTGTCAGCCTCTTTATTAGTCTGAGTGTGTGTGTGTGTGTGTGTGTTAAGGGGCCTCCCAACTAGAAACAGATCCTTCTCCAGAAAGGATACACACTCTCACACACACTTCTTTATTTCTTGTTAGTCGTCCTGCACCTTAATTTGCAACACCTCTAACAACCAGCTCTGCAGCCCACTTCACGGCCACTCAATCTATCACTGTCACTGCTCCGTTTCCATCACTGGTGCTCTTATTCATCAGGGTACTACAAAGAGTGAATGTGTGCATGCAATACTCACTTTTTCTACCATGTTTTTATTGTGTTTTTAAACATATTTCATGTGTACAGCTGCAGAAAGATGAGGGAAGTTTTATTTGCACTTCTGCTCTTCTGCTGGAAGAAATTTCATTCCAGGCTGCCCCCTAGCTGCTTCAAGGAGAAGTGCATGCAATCTCTTCTCATTTTTTCCCCTCTCTCTCTGCTTGTGTTGTATAGGTTAAAAGATATTCTTGATTTAGACAGATTAAAAGCAAGATTCCAGATTGAAAAGAAACCTGTCATCTGTCCCAATCTTCGGACTTTCTCTTTGAAACAACTTATTTTCTTTACTTGTCGACAGTCTCCCCAGAATATAAGTGTGTAAACCAGGGGAGAGTCAGAGAGCTTTCTTTATATTCAATATATTATTTCCTGTTTTCAAAGGACCGAAAAGAAAAAGATGAATATTCCACCTAAATTATGTTGCCTCTTTCTATGATAATCACTTAGAGAAAAGCAAGCATTAGTAGATGTATATGGATGGCCTTTCCTTGTTACTTTTCTTGATGGCGCCTGGTGTTTAAAAGTCAAATTATCACTGTTCACTGCTGATGTTAATGCTGACTTCTAGATCAGCTACAGTGTTTTATAGAATAGAGTTGCAACATTTGTAGAGTTCAAAACAATGACCCTGCCTATCACAGGCACATTCAGTACACAAATACATGCAAACAAGGGTGTGTTCACACTTTGAAACACGGGGCAGAGCAACAGAGTACTTTGATCACATTTCATAAAAATATCCCCATATAGCCAAACAATAACCTAGCAGTTATATCACACATGCTGTAAGTCTGCTTCTATCTCCATCTCACATCAAAATCACAATCGCCACCTTTGCTCAGAGCTGCCATTTCTATTTTGTGCCCTCCGTCGGACAGAAAATAATATGTACCTTGTCACCAGCATCTACCCGTACGAGCAACTTTCGTCTACTAATTCAGCCCTGCACGCCACACACATCCGTCAGATATAACTGGCGGAGGAGAGGGCATGCCGAGACATCCATTAAAGGTTCCTAGCTGTCAAAGGTTCCCCTTTGTGTTATGAGGAGCAATATAAGTGTCGAGCTCTTATCAGAGCTTCCTGTGGAGTTTGCCCTGCATCCTGTCCACTCAGAGCCGCTTCTCTTTTCACTCCAGTCTCATTGTGTCTGAGTGCACATACATGTGTTGGTACATGTGTGTGTGGTGTGTGTGTGTGAGAGATATTTTTTGATGATGCTGTTCAATCAAAGGAAACTATACGTCAAACTCTGATATGGCCATTTAAGCAAATCAGTGAAATAGAAGTAAATACAAGTATGAACAAACATCAGAAGAGTGATTGTTTTGGCCCCTTTACCTGGACAAAAATCAAAAAAAAATAATAATATAAAAAAAAAGATATTGTGATCATTGTTACCCAGTTACCCAGGGGAACTGTCATTTACAGCTAGATGTGTGTGATTCCAAATAAGAATGTTTAGGGTTAGGCTTTTATTTGAAGCCTGTGTGATCATGTGACCACTAGATCTGATACATTATGGTCTGTAAATTGCCTAGTTTTTCGTACACAAAAAGTATCGTATATCATTTGAATCAGTCAAGTTTTAGCTGAATCCCTGAACAAATGAAAAAATTAAATCAGCCAGCTTTGTTTGTTTTGTTTTGTTGAAACCCTTTTGCACATAAAGCTGCTGAGTTACACCCAGGTCCCCCTCCCCCTTTGACATTTGGGGGGGGCAGGGTTAGAATGAAAAAGGAAGGTAAATAAACAAACAATCAGCTGCAGGCTTGTTCGGGCTCTCCTTCTCTGTTGCACCTCATTTGAAGCCTTATAAATCAGGCTTCCACCCGGAGACAGGGTGTTAGCGTGCCTCAGAAACAAAACACACACACACACGTGCACATACAGAAACATACAACACATAGGTCTGCTGTTCATTAAGCCCATGATCAGACCCATGAGTGTTTGTATTTTTTATTTTTTATTTTTTTATTTTTTTATTTTTTTATTTTTGTTTAGGGGGGGGGGGTGAAATCTGTGTGAATGCTACCTCGCCTGATGTGTTACATTAATGCATGTGAGTGTGTCTCCCACAGTTCTTTCTCCCAACAGTAATTCCCCCTAAAATAAGAGAAAAGTTCCCACCTTGACTGCATCTGGATCTTAATGTGTTCATTAAACATAAAGGAAACCTGAAGCAGGTCCCTGGCCATGACAAGTGCACTCTGACTCCACCGCCTGCAGAAAAGATATTGGGTGGAGTAGTAGGTGTGTAGGCGGGGGTATGTCTGGTTGGCTTTCAGTGACTGTTTTCACACATAAAATAAAGGCCTGGACTTGATCAAGCCGGGTGTTTTAAGTTGTAAAGTGGAAGCAGAAGAGGCAGTAGCTGTAGATGTAGGGTGTGAGGATTGATACATTTCAGTTTTTTTTATTTATAAGCTCTACCAGTGGACATTATCTGATTATTTTCACCACAGTATTTCAGTGTGAATCACAGAAAATACCTAAACCAAGACTGATTTGTATTTCAATATCTCAAAATCAGCAAAACATTTACATAAGCAGTAGGCATTGTTGTTCTAAAACAGGAGCATATAGTGAAAAGGGGAAAATCACACCTTGGCTAAAAAGTTGGGTCACACGCTGTTAGCTCAACCATGCGCAACACATTGGTCTAAAAAAAAGGTTGCAGTATTTGTATGAACAAGCACGGCAGTTTCCCACACCTCCAAACCAGACCCATTACATATTTATTCCCCAAACTTGGCACCTGCAACCCCCACCCACCAAAATACACCTTCTGCACGCGCTCACCCAGACAACAAGAACATGACCATTCACACTTTATGAGCTGGGGGAAAAAACACACAAACATGACTTTAGAAAAGCAGGCCAGTTACTGAGGTTCATGAACTTTGCACATCTAAAAACGTCAGAGGGCTTCTTGGTTCTTCTCTATCACACCTTGGTTTCCTTCAGCAGACATTCGACTGTGATTATGAGCGCATAGAGTCAAGCTAGAGGTCTGGACCCGGACCGGGCTGATTGGGAGACGTAATTAGAGGAGTTGCTCTGTCTCAGTCTAGTTCTCCCCGGAGGATTCACACAGGCTCAGTATCACATGCAGAGCTGCACTGAAATCAGAGCTTGAACCCAACTTTGTGGAAAGGCTGCCAGATTCCCCTGCACCTTGGACATCTTACAGATATAAATTCAGACAAACAGAGGACCCAGAGGACTTCCTTAAAGATCTCTTTACAAATGTGTTTCATTAATACTTAATCATCATCCAATAGCTGCTGTCTAATGACTTATAATCTTTTACATTCCTGTGAAAAATGCAGTCCTCTTTTGGGAAAACCTAAAGCATTGTTACCCTTCCTGGTTTTTCCCTCACTTCTTGCTGAACAATAAGCCCTCTTCTCTTCTTCTTCTCCTCCTCCTCCGCTTCCTCCTTCACCTCTACCTCCATCCTCCTTCATTCCCTGGGAAAGCGGGTAACATGAAACCTGCTCTCGGAGTCTCAGGGGGGGCGAAGGGGTTACAAAGGGTGATCAATATGTGCCAGAGAAAGTCTTAAGACAAGTAAAAGAAGCCATAGTTTCTCTACTCCCTCCCCCTTTCTCCTCCTCTTCCTCTTCCCTTGTCCTGTTGTCAGGATTGACAGGGTAAGGTGGCTCTAACACCCACTGACATGTTGCTGCTGTTTGCCTTGACGTTGGTTGACATCAAACTCCTGGCACAGTCTTTTTTTTAAACCCTGTTGTGCATCCTTAAAATGCCTGAACCTCCATTGAAAATATCATTTTCAGAATTGTGCCAGTCCCAGTTTTTGTTGTGAATTCCCTATACATGTTTCTAAATTGTATCTCTCCAACAGGTGGTCAACGACATGGGCAACATCAAGTTTGCGCTGGACACAAGCCTGGATGTCGCTAGCAACAGCTGGCTCAAATACATCCGCTCTGCGCCGACATTCGAGGAGCAGAACCTTGCCGCCTGTCACCTCACAGGGGACCAGGTGAGTGACATGAGCGAGGTGTCCTGGTTCAGTTGTGTGGGTGTTGAGAAGTGAAACAGCATTCTTTTGTCAGCAAGTTGCCTGAGTGAACACAGGGGTTGCGCATTGTTTAGTGTCAAGATGGCAAAACGTGTGCACTGGTAATGAGCAAGGAATGGCTACATTGTGTGTTTGTGTCTGGGCCAGTTGCCAGTGCTGATAGAAAATGACCCATGTTAAGAGGCTGAAGAATAGCCTGACACTCCTGAGTCCAGTAAGAACTCTTGTGCAAGGCATGGTCTTCTTCTCTGAATGCAGAGAAGACAGTAGTCTGTACCTTTTTATGCTTTGTATGTCCATCTTCTCCCCTCTCTCTCTCTCTCTCTCTCTCTCACTCTCTCTCGCTCTCTCTCTATAAGGCATTGGAAAATTTTGGAAAGATGCCAAGCCAGGGCCCATAAAACCTCAACTGCTTAACTAGGCCCTAACCCCGTACCCATGCAATGTGTCAAGTTACTGCTGCAATAAAGTATATTTCTCTATTTCTGTTGATCCTGCAGATGCTACTTTTTTGTAGATGCTTTGCTGACTTTTGTCCCAGTTTCTGCAAAAAAAAATAAAAAAAGTTGTTTGGACTATATTTGATGCGTTACACCATATTATTAAGATATTATACATGCAGAAATAAAAAATCCAAAGAAATGCACAGACACAATTTATGACTGTGGAATGACATTGCCAATTGCATCTATATGACTTGAATCTGTTTCCACATTCCTGTCACTCTGCTCTTATTTGTCTCCTAATCCCAGCCTACATGGCTCTTTCCCATTCCTGTCTCCCTCTCTACCCGCCTGTTCCTGGTCGTCTTTGTCTCCTTCCTCTCCTTTCTCTGTCCTCATGTCTCGATCTGCCACCTGTCACTCTGTCACACAGAGGGGACAGGCTAGTGTGTCCATTTAAGCTGCAGACATTAAGCCTGTCCGATAGAGAAAAAAGGGGGCTCGGGCCAAGTAAGAGAGGGAACACACAGGGGCCTCTGAGATTGACAAGCACCAATTGGCTGGCAACACCAACCCGTCTAATCCTTTTAAGATTTTCACATCAGTGCCCCCTGCCACTGCCACACAATGTCAAAGAAAGAATCAGGGCACTGGTGAAAATGGTGGAGAATTATCGGGCCCAGAAAAGGCCACGTGCACAATTGTTTTTTGATGGCTTCTGCGGATGTTTGTACTCAGCAAACAGCTTTGCTTTTGTTGGCCTGGCATAGTGGCTCACAGGTATGACCCTATCATTTATTTACAAACACAACACACATGCACACATAGCCACTCAGTACAGGATTCATAATTGATAAAGAGTATTCCGTTTTTTTTCTCCGTCTACTTTTGTATCAGCATTCACAATGCATGAGTTTATGGAAATATGTGCAAACAGGGCAAATTCAAATGCAGGCAGTAACCTTTTAAAGAGCAAGTGGATAATTGATTTGTTTATTTGTTTGTCATTAATGATGTAAGATGAACAAATGTGTGCATGATGATGCATAATTTAGATATTTATGGTCATGCAATAATTTGGAACTAACACAAGAGGAATGTTTGTGTCTGTCAAAAAGATGTTGTAGTGCTTTGTGTATGGAATCTGAAGAAAAAAACATTTTATAATCTCTTTCTCAATCTGTCCACACACAAACTAATTTCAAGAAACTGCTCTCACTTAATCCTGTTTGCAACTTTATACAAACACAATATCCAGTTACTTCCAATGGTGGCCTAAAAACAACATTTTTTTCCATAGTTTGTGGCTCAACAGGAATGTGTGCAGATGATTGTGTGTGTGCGTGTGTGTTTTTTTGTGTGTCTGTGTGAGTACATTTAGCCCAATTAAATAGTTCCATTTCCCCTAGATTTCCATCAACTACGACTAGTGTGTAATAGAGCCCATTCAGTGGTTCTAAAGCGATGAGGCCAAGGGGTGGTGTGTGTGTGTGTGGGTGTGTGTGTGTGTGTGTGTGTGTGTGTAGTTGATGAGGCTTTGTCAGTCTGTCATCTTTTGTGTTTTGGAGCGGAGTCCTTTGCCATGCTGTTTGATCTGCCCCTCTACCCCTGGATGGATCCATCAATACGTAGACACTTGTGTGTGTGAGTGTTTGTGTGTTTGTGCATGAGGCCACAGTGGGGGATTATTGCAGGCCCTACGGCTGGCATTGATCGATGATGCATCTGTCCGCTGAACACTGGACAGCGAAGGGAAAAGGTCATGACAGGTCTGAGAGTGGAGGCCTTACTGTAGGATACACACACACAGAAACCTCTCTCTCTCACACACACACACACACACACACACACACAATTTCAAAGACATAAAAACAGGGATTTAGACTGCTGTAGACAAAACATTTCAACTGATTAAAACATCTTAATTTATGAATTGATTTAACTGATTGAAAATAAAATCCGATTTGAGAATGTCATTCTTTATTAGACTGTAATAAATGTAAATGAAGAAGATGTTCAATGCTAAGTATGAATTCAGCAACTGAAGTGATTTTCTTAATAAATAGAAAGGCAGGCCTATATAAATGTTTAAATGAGATATTGAAAGGTTTGCATTGTGTTTAATCATGTGCTTATTTTCGTGTCTTGAACTTTTTTATTATTCCTGCTACAAATATAAATCAAAATTATTGTAGAAAAATAAGATAAGATAAGATAATCCTTTATTTATCCCACAATGGGGAAATTTACACAATAATAATGTTCTATTATGAATAATTCATAGCGTTTTAATTAACCGTGGATGCATGTGCGAGACATTTTCTTTTTTTTTTCTGAAGTGAAATTTAAATTTATAAGGTTTAAGTTACAAAATTACCTTTTTTTTTTCTCCATCTAAACTTAACCCCTCAATTAAACGAGAACAAAAAATAGGCTTTTCTTCGTCGGTATAGTGCAGTTACATTTGGACCAGACTGAGAGAAGGACAACAAAATAAAAAAAATAAAAAAATTATCCCGATTTGCCTTTTGATACATTTAATGTTTTACTATGCCCCATGATCGAATGCGCCTGCATGCAGGTTATTTTTCCGCGTGTTTGGCAGTGAAGAAATGAGTGACAGTGAGAGTGCAAGTCTCTTTAGCTGCTCAAGACATTTTTCACATCAATAATAGATATATCAAGCGGCGGCTCCGATCGGAGATGCGGGGAGGGGTCTGCGCCGCAGATCCCTCAATCCTTTTGGCTGAAGATAAGACGAGGAGGAGTGGCCGACGGGTAACCGACAGAGCACCAAGGGGCAATCGGCAATCACTAATGGGAGGGAGAGAGTCAGAAAGAAAGAGAGAGAGACTCATCATTATCAAAGACGCGCTCACTGACTAGATTAGAGAGTAGCCCAGCAGAAAGACGTCAGGTTTCATCCAGCCACAGGGAACCATCGCCGACCGTCCGCAGCGCGTCTGGCCGCCCCGCGACCTCCTTTCCCCGGCCCTGCCCGCTCCAGCGCCCCGCTCCCTCGTCGGTTCTCCTACTATGGGTTGTGTCGCCAACTCCAGCGGGACTGAAGTGCTCCTGCAGCTGGAGGCTCTCCGCAGCGCAGCGCAACTTTCCCAACTCCTCCGTCTCACGGAGAAAAGAAAGGTCAGGTCGTAGCAGTGCAGAGAAAGTTTCGCAGCATTTTATGCATCGTTATGCAAAATAATATTTCAAGTAGTAGCCTAATAATGTGCTATTATTGGTTTTTGGCCTTTGCTCCTTGTCTTATCCAAAGCGCACTAAGTCTTGAAGAAAATTTCACAGACCTGTCTGTGTTGAGGGTGACTCAAGTGTGTGTTAGTGTGTGTGTGTGTGTGTGTGGGGGGGGGGTGCGTGTGTGTGTGTGTGTCTGTCTGTGTGAGTGTGTGTGTCTGTGTGAGTGTGTTTGCTCAGTTGACATCTTTGTATTGGTGCAGAGCGCCCCCATGTGTTCACAGTTCACATCCTCTGACTACAGCTCCAAACTGAAGCTTTGCGCTGTGATGCTGAAAGAAGCTGCAGTAGCCTACTTTCCATCGGAAAAACACATATTTAGGCTACTCTTGATGTGATCAAGTTCAATAAGATTTATTGAGATTACATTTATATTCGCTGAGAAAGAGGATAATTTGCTTCGCAGAGTTGTGCATGATGAATGGAGAATGGTAAAGGCCTCGGCTCAGGATGGCCTCGAATATTGTCTTATTTTAGTTTTCTGCGTTTCTTGATTTTCTTCTCAAAAAGGAGAAAAAATATATTTCATCATTCAGGCTCAGTTTTTTAAATTCAGGTATTAAAATGTTGTGAAAAAAACCGCATGAGAGCAGCCGGGCGGGTTGGTGTTTATTCTTTCACCAGGTTACATTGCAGCACTATGTATCGTCTGAATCTCGTTAAAAAAATGAAATGGGAAAATCTTTGAAACACGCAGATGTACTTTTTATCCCTTCAGGTTTTTTGGGGATTATATTTATTTTATTTTATTGTATAATTTAATAGAGTTTGAGGCTTAAATGACGATAACAAATGATTGTGTTGTATAATAGGCCTACATTCAGATTTATCAGCCCAGACACATTGTAAAATATTGTGAAATTATTTTACATTTCTTATGAACATCTGATTAATATGCAAATATTATCAATTTCAATATAAAGCTCTTCCTTGCGTTAATAAACGTGTAACGTTCCATCTTGACCTGAAGCTGAAGTATTCCTCTTTGTTTCTCTCTCTCCTCAGATTTATTATAAAGCAGTCCGGGACATTGAAGCAGGGGAGGAGCTTTTAGTGTACATGAAGGACGGTATTTTCCCTGAGGGATCCATGGCACCCAACCTACAAGGTAAGATGAATGCGCATCATTAGTGCACATTTTAAACAAACTCCATCCTGCATCCTGTGCTGCTTTCGCGGCCAACTCTCTATAACCTTGCTAATGTGAGGAGAAAAAAGACACCATCTCTTCATCCAAGTTTTTTGCTCCTTAAGAAACCTGAATTATTCGAATCATAAATTTCCATGATGGAATTAAATACCGCATTAAAGCTTCTGGTTGAAGGTCGTATTGGAGTTGTCATTTAAACGAGGCCTGCCAATCATGAGGTCTACTGCTACAATGCTGCAATGTAATACTGTATTAGGGCGTCAATTGGCACTTGTCATCTTCCATCCTCACTGAGTAGAAATTTTCTGTTAACGGAAATCCAACATCAGACAGAAATTATGAGGAAGCCCTGTCCTTAAGGATGTAAAGTAAATTGAGAGTTTGGAAGTCTATGTACCCTATCCCAACGATTAACATTCGCAGTTTTTCCCAAGAGATCGACTTTTTTACAAGTTTTGTGGCCATTAGGTTAATATTGAAGCCAATCAGATTAACGGACTCGGACATGCGTTTGGCTACCTGCAGGAATCGACCCCCTGCCGTTTAAAAAAATAATGACACATATATTTATAAAAAAAAAAAAAAACATCAACCAAAGCTGATCAAACCTTCATTTTAAATATTTATTTATTAAACCCAATTATTTTGCAGCCCACGCTTTAAGTTAAAGTATAAATTTTTCAATTTCCTTTCGTTTGTTTATGTTTTTTTATTTTTTTTGCAATTGCTATTGAGAGACACAAATCCCATCCCCTTGTTTGGCCGCGGGGTCAGTCAAATTATTGAAATAATTTGATAAAGGTCCTTAAGATGTCTCTGAATTTATTTTCCAGATATATTGTCATGCATATGTGTGAGTTATGACTTAATTATTATTATATCATTTTTATTACATTGACATCTACAATCTTCAAGCTTGAGTATGTGAAGTGTATAAAAGTGTTTTTGTGTGTTAAGGTGCTCTCCCTCACATGCTCGGAGTGGGTAACCTGAGTCACAATACTCACTACCTTCCAGCCGTGCCTCTGTATGTCAGACTGAATATGTCCAATATGTTATCTTATAATCTAACATGGACAGCTGTTCACTGTCAATCCGAGCTTTTCATTCAAAGTTCACCTAGGCAGAAAAGGGGCCATAGTTCCGCTGTATTTCTTTAAACATCTTGGACTTATTTTGTTGAGCTGCTGTTGTCAGGTAACATTGTTTTGTTGTGTTTCCAGTCTTTCTGGAACAGCGGTTGGAAAGAAAATCAGATTATTCTTACTTGTCATTGATTGTAAACTGGTAGAGGGGAGAACAAGATGTTTGTGAGATGTTCTGTGGTTCATCAGTATGCCCCCCCCCCCTTGCATGCTGCACAGTGCAACCCTAACCCATGCACTGATCTTCATGCAAAAGAAACGGGTTAAAACAGAAGCTCAAAGCAAGCTTGATTGTTGATTAAAAGCAGATTGGTATGTTAGGAGTAGGTCAAAGATGAAACACACTAAATGATTTGTTCAACACCTCTGTCTGTATCTATGTGAAATATTGAGAGGCAGGCAGATAGAAGAGAGACACCCTTGCTGTTAGAATGTGTGTGTACAGGCTGAAGCATTTTTTGTTGTTTGTTGGTGTAGAGGTGCATATAAAATCCTAGAGTTTTATGCAATTTATTTGTAAATGAGAGACAGAGAAGCAGAAAAAAAAGAGGACAAAGAGAGTCCACCTACAGAAGGGTTTGTAATGTGTGCTTGTATTCATGTGTGTGCATGTTTGTGTGCATGTGTGTTTGAGACAGAGACAGACAGAGAGGGGGAAAGGCAGCAGAGCTGGCTGAGTGGGAGCTTGGCAGTGCAGCACAGCTCCCTGTGTCTGGCTTATCGGAGAAAGAATTTGAAGTAGAGGGCTTGAGGAGTCCCCTGAGACCTCACCCATGCTCCCAGATTAGCTGCTAAACTGCACATAATTGTGCTTCCCTTCGTCTCCCAGAGAGCTATTAGTCTCCCCTTTATAACCCCACCACCACCGCCCCACCCCACCGACATGAACAGATTGACTGAAGCAACACGGGCATGCTGATACACAAACGCGAGTAGCTGTATTTACGTGCATCCTCGCTCACAAACATCTATGCAACACACTCAGAGTTTTTTTAAACTCCAGTGTTGCTGTTGCAAGAGGCGTTTGCGAGTGGTTTTGTTACAACACACTATTTTCTATATCTTCAATCATATAAAAAGAAAAGATGTAAAAAAAAAAAGTGAAATGCCACCTTTTTTTTCTAAAACATTTTGAGCTGTTGTGAAGGAGTCAGACAAAAGGCTGTTAAGATGATTAAGCAGCAAAGAAAACAATAGCCAGCCCTGCCTATCGCTCTCCATGAAGTTTGTGCGCCCTGGTGTCAAAGTGAGGGAGTTAGTTTAGCATTTGAGCCCAGTGTAATGGCCCATTGACCAGAAGGTCATTTATCGTTTCCCCCAAGGTTAGACACATTGATGTTGCTCCACTAATGCCCTTTTAATGTGTCCAAGAAGTTCCAGCTGGATAAACGGTCACATGCAGTAGAAAACAGGTGAGCCCTGCACTGTAAGCCATTTTGGATAAACTCATTTAGTGCAGCTTGAAATGATGGATGGATGTGCGTGGCATATAGGGACACCTGGGGGGGGTAGGGGGGTCATGGCAGAGAGGGGATGGCAAGTTGGCGCTGAAATCACCATGGGGTTGGCGCCACTGTGCCCCTGCTTACCTCTGTTCCTCATAGCTCATTCTTTTGGGAAAATGTTCACATAAACACATGCACACTCGCACGCACACATACACGCCCGTGCACAAAGACACTCCACTGGGTTTTCCCCTGATCTGTTGAACTTGGCGTCTGACTCAGGAACTTGCTATTGAAAAAGCTGGCCCGAGTTTTATGCATTTGACCTTGGTGGTGAGAAGTATTGTAAAGGTTATCAACATGGAAAGGGAAGACCAGCTCCTATTGTTTCCCGTGTGTGCCATTACAACTAGAGTCTCAAGCAAACACTTGTGAAAACAAGCAATTAACAGTGTTACTGAAGGCTATTTCAGTGCTAATTGATTTCCATTTTATGTGAATGTCAATGGCAGGATTGTTGCTTTAACCATTTAAATGGGAGTCTGTGAAGGTGTAACTAACAGGGAGATAGGTAATAGATTGTTGTTCTTGTTTAGTTGTGCCATTATTTTTTATATACAATCTCTTACTTTCTGGTCCATTATCTTAAGTTAGTTTAAGAAGTTTGTTTAAGAAACATAATTTAATTATTTATTTGTGCAAAGCAACATTTATATCGTCTTGACTCCAAGAATTTAAGTCAGTTCTGTCTGCACACATTGAAAACAGGTGGATACAATTAAATGTCCTCCTTCATGCTTTGAAGTGCATGCTTAAAATACTTTAGAGATTCTCTGAAGTCTTTCATTTCAGACAATTTGTTGTTGTTTAAGAACAATGTTTGTAGTTTAAGACTGGTCAAAATGGAAAATGTGTTTTTTGACAACAGAGAATAACATTTTCAGTTTATTTTTTAACAGGTAAACCCTTGTGTCAAACCATATCATTATAAAGTTTGCTGTATTATCCATGTCAAACGTTTCCTTCAAGCATTTCAGATTGATCTCAATTGGTAATAATTATGCTTTCTTATTTCAATAGTGTGTTGAATAATCAAATGTGTGTTTTTTTGTGTGTGCACAGACGAGCAGATGTACCGCTGTGAAGACTGTGATGAGCTGTTCTCCTCTACTCTCGAGTTGCGGCGGCACCAGAAGTATTCATGCTCCAGCAGTGGCTCAATCTTTGACCAACTTAGAGACGACTTCAAACAGGAACGTGAGGACAGCGATGAGCCCGTCCATGAGTGTAAAGACTGTGAGAAGATCTTCCCAAATGAGTACAGGTACAGACATATGACATTAATTTATACTACACTTCAGCCCATTATTATTCTCCAGGCTACAAATGTAACTTTTTATGAAATACTGATGATACTAAAAAGTGTACTAAAAACTAAATACTAAAAAACCCCTCCTTTCCAAGTCTGGGCCAACACATGATAGTCCACACAGAGGAGAGGGAGTATAAGTGTGACCAGTGCCCCAAAGCCTTCAACTGGAAGTCCAACCTCATCCGTCACCAGATGTCACATGACAGTGGCAAGCGCTTTGAGTGTGAAAACTGTGATAAGGTACAGCATACCCGGCACGTAAGTTGTGCACAGGACACACAGGCTCTATCTGTTCAGACATTTTTGCTGGTCACTGATAATGATATTGGAAATAGATTCAGAGAATTTGAAAAAAAAATAAACACATCTGATAAAGAGAACTTGTTTTTTAAATGTTGCATATTATGATGGATATTTGAATTTCTATACTCTTGTTTGAAATTTCAGGTGTTCACAGATCCTAGTAACCTTCAGCGTCACATCCGCTCCCAGCATGTGGGGGCCCGCGCTCACACATGTCCTGAGTGTGGCAAGACCTTTGCCACATCGTCAGGCCTTAAGCAGCATAAGCACATCCACAGCAGTGTCAAACCCTTTATCTGTAAGTGGGAGCTTTGGAAGTTAATTACCACTTTTATTCTTAACAGGCCATTTGTTTCTTAGTCCTTTTCTTTTCACCTCATCTACTCTTACATCCTCTTTCCTCTCCATGTACACCAACTTTTTTTTTATCCTGTTCATGTCTTCTGAACTAAGCACACAGATCCAGAGTTCATTTTGTCCATCTCTAAGTTTGATTACATGATGTTTGTAATAGAGTTGTTTGTAAAAATGTTTGTTTAAGAAAAATGTTAAAACGAATGAATCCGTTTCTTTAAGCATTTAACGCCCTTTTTTTACATTCTATTGCAGTAAAATGTACATTGGTTAGATACAGGCAATAAGAAACCATTTTGCAATTTCATTTTGAAGATTGAGTAGTTTGTGTCATTAATTTAAAAAAAGAAAGTTCATTCATTTTCTAATACTCTACATCCTCACTTTCCATTTAGAAGTTTGTGTTGCTGTTGATCTGGTATTCAAAGTTAGAGACAGTGTTAAAATGGGTTTAACCAGGCCCTGATGGGCTGCGTCTTTTTGCTCCCCCAGGTGAGGTGTGCCACAAATCCTACACCCAGTTCTCCAACCTCTGCCGCCACAAGCGTATGCATGCTGACTGCCGCACCCAGATCAAGTGTAAGGACTGTGGGCAATTGTTCAGCACTACCTCCTCCCTCAACAAGCATCGCCGCTTCTGTGAGGGCAAAAACCATTATGGCTCTCCAGCTGGGATGTTCAACCCTGGCATCCCCATGAGCTCTAGCCCCATCATGGCCAAGGCCAAGTCCCACCATCCCCACCTTACAGGTCTAAGCCAGTCAAGTTTAGGCTTCACTGAATACTTTCCCTCCCGACCTCACCCTCACGCTGGCTTGCCCTTCTCACCAGGACCCCATGGCTTCCCCTCCCTCCCACATGGTTTCCCAGGTATCTTCCCCCCATCACTGTATCCCAGACCTCCTTTATTGCCTGCCAGTCCGTTGATAAAGAGCCCGCTTGGCAGCAGCAGTCAGGAGGTGAAGCTCCCGAGGAGTCCCCTAGATGCCCCTCCTCTGTCCCTGGTAAGCTCCACAAATAGCAATGGGGGTAACAGTTTGAGTCAGCTGGATGAGAAAGACAACAAACTGGACTTATCTTCTAGTGGAGAAGCCAAGCCAAAATCCAAGATGGTTGACATGTCTGATGGTAGTGACCTTGAAGACGTTAATACAACAAGTGGGACAGATCTGGACACCACCACTGGTACGGCTTCAGGTGATGGGTCTGACCTGGAGAGCGATGGAGAGAGTGAACGTGAGAGAAGTGGTAAAAGAAGGAAGTCCTCTGGGGCTGTATCGAGTCAAGAAGGCCACCAGTTAGAAGAAACAAACAGCGGATTGATATCAGCCGTATCTAGTTCTGGGAACCACACTATCGATCGTCCCTTTCTTTCTTCATCCCAGCACTCCTTTTTCCCACCACCTGATGAGCAAGCCCTCCCGCCAACTACCACAAATGCCAATGCAGCCACCACAGATTCTATTAAAGCCATTGCTTCTATTGCGGAGAAATATTTTGGTCCTGGTTTGATTGGTCTTCATCAGGAGAAGAAGATGGGTCCATTGCCCTATCATTCCATGTTCCCCTTCCAGTTCCTTCCCAACTTCCACAACTCCCTCTATCCTTTCAGCGCCGATCGCGGTGCCCTCAATCCTAGCATGTTCTTCAAGGCGGAGCCCAAGTCACCCCGCGAGCAGCTGCACAAGATGGTCACCGCAGGTGCTCCTACTTCCACAGCAGAATCCCCATTTGATCTCACCACGAAACCTAAGGACACAAAGATCGCTCCTCCAACCCCGACAAACCCTTCAAACCCCAACTCTAGCAGTGGGAGCAGTAGTGGACCCTTAGCGATATCTAGCAGTGAAGAACAGCCATTAGACCTCAGCATTGGCATCCGGAGCAGAGGTGGTCATAATGGTGTGGCAGCTGATCCACAAAATAGAAAGAACCACATGTTCGGAATCGGAAAGGGGGTTTGTATAAAGGATGAAACCCCAGCTGGGTTTCCACACCCCCACCCCCAGTTATTGCACCAACCTTCCATCCCACAACACCAGCAGCCGCAGGCACATCCACACCAGCCACCACCACTGCACTATGCCAAGCCCTCAGCATTCTTCATGGACCCCATATTCAGGTATTTCAGCCACGATTAGACCAGAAATCACAATTAGCATATAGACAGTTTTGTGTTAAAACATCAAAGTAGGTAGAGGTGCCTGTTTAGTAGTATGTGTTTTGAAGTTATAGATGAAGATTGACCTTGGTACGTAACCCTCTACCTTGTTGTTGGTCCAGCAGGGTGGAGAAGAGGAAGCTCCTGGACCCTGTAGGAGCCCTGAAGGAAAAATTTCTCAGGCCCTCCCCACCACTCTTCCATCCACAGGTAGGTTTACAGCGTGACCACATGTTTCAAATCTAAGAAGCCACTAGAGATATGGAGACAATACATTTTGTAGACTCAGATATAAAGCTACTGCACAGGAATACAAAACATGGGAACTGAAGTCCAGGTATTGCAAACAGGCCAATTATTCCCAGATGCTATCGACTATTATTTTCAAACTGTGTATTATGTGAAAATACCTCACTCCTGCCTCCCACGCTGCGTCAACCTGGATTGATAGGGCCCTGTGCGCCATCATTCCACAGTGTTGATGTTATTTTCTCAAGGGTTCTGTATGATTTCTTCCTTTGTTTACTGAATGGCGCCTCTGTACCTCGTCACTTCTACCTTATTCAGAAGACACAATCTGTTATCGCAGCCCCTTTGATAATCAGTCACATTGTTCGACTGTCCCCAGACCCCTCCCATGCCTCTACAAATCTTGATTGTGAGGAAAGATAGTATTAATAAAAGAGAGAATAATAACCGTTTGAATTGTAACAATCTGCCTCTCTCGGCCACGCTAATCTCAGTTGTGGCATTGTGCGAGCCCACAAGCCAGCTAATAACTCAACCCCCCTCACAGTTTTTTTTCTCTGTGGCTGGCTGGCCGGCTAGATAATAGCATCGTGTCCATCAAGGACATCCTGTGTTTGTCTCCAGGAGAATGGGGGGCTCTTGTCGGGGAAACGGTTTAATCTGACCTGGAAATCTGTGTCCTCTACAACTGTGACTTTTTATTACAGTCATTAAGTGCAAACAGATACATTTACAATACACATATGTGTAATAGAGCATTTACTAGTCCCTGAAAAAAAAATTGCTGACAGGATTTCTTTAAATATAATACGTAAGAAACAATTTGACTCTTAACATCTTCTAATTTACATTCACCCGGTGTAAATAACTATTTTAATATTTATCATTCTGCACCAGAAGATCTCACCATTCTACAATCTTTTGCTGCTTTTTTTTTTAAGTCATCATCTTATAATTGATCACTGTTTTGAATATGAAAAAAAGTTTTCCCAAACGCCTACATAAAAGCGTGTCATATCAGAGTGCCTCAGCTGTAACACTCCCAGTGATCCCAACACAATGCCACCTCTAATTCAGTCTCATGACGGAATCCCCCCCAACCCCCCCACCACCACCTTTCCTCAGACTACGAATAAACACACTGAGACGGAGTGTCTGTCCCTGTGTCTCTCCCGTCCCGTATTCATTTAAAAAGGAAGTATATAAGCTGTTTTTGGCAAATAGACTTCTCCATAACTGGCCCCCTTTGTTCACAAACTTCTAGGCGGGAGGGGGGGGGGAGTCATTATCAGTTGGGGGTATCTCAAACTATATTGTACAGCTCTAATCTGGACTCTTTAATTACTCAAATAACCAGTTGTCAGGCCTGCAACAGTAGCTTCAGTAGAAGCAGGTTAGACGGAGATTACAAAGCACTGGTGAATTTGGAAATGAGGGGTCTAGGGTGAGAAGGTATTTGAGCATTTGTGAATGTTTTGGAGGTCACTGGGGTGACTTGTCAATAGCACATACAACAAGGCTAAACTCTAATATGCTGCTTCCGCTCTCTGTCTCTTTCCCTCGCTCACTGTATTTTTTTTAACATTGTGTCTTTGTTTTCAGTGCTTCCTTTACTCTTATAAAACACACATACACAAAGGCATGCATGCACGCACACACACACACACACACACACACACACACACACACACACACACACACACATGCATGCATAAAACTGATTCAGAGGCTTCTCTTATGGTATGATTAAATACATTTATGTTGAATGGATGCAATAAAAAGGAGATGTCTTTAATCCTGTCAAAGTGTTTGATCTCACATCTTTTACATTTTCTGTTATCTCCACATTCTCCTTCACCCTTAGATGTCAGCTATGGAGAACATGACAGAGAAGCTGGAGAGCTTTGGCGCTCTGAAACTGGACGCGCCGCCCAATTCACTGCAACATTCTGCTCATCCACTGTTCAACTTCAGATCCCCTCCACCTTCCCTCTCAGAAGCCATCCTTCGCAAGGGCAAAGAGCGTTACGCCTGCAGGCAAGTCACCTGTGTTGCACCATTTTTTGTGTTTAATGTTACAATGATTGCACTAATGACAGGGTACTTCTTCTGTATGTTACTTTATAATTTTTTTATGTCCCCAACTTCTTTCTTCCCTGCCTTTCTGTCTATTCTCCTCTCCAGGTATTGTGGGAAAATATTCCCGCGCTCAGCAAACCTCACCAGACACTTGCGGACACACACAGGGGAACAACCCTACAGGTATTCTATTCTATGGTCGTTTTATATCAGACAGACAAGAAAAGTCAATGTAACTCAAAAGTTTGAACTTCAAGAAACAATAGGTCCCACACATACCAATGTTTAAAAAAAATGGTAACTGAGCACCAAAACGTTTAAAAGGGCAATATCCAAAATATCTACTGGATGAAGTCATAAAGTGAACCTACTGCGTCATCAGACATTATCTTGAAGTGCTTGCTTCTCTAAAACTTGGATGCCTTTGAAAAATGGAGCGAGGTTAGACTGCAGAAAGGTTTCAAGACTGATAGGGTTGGCTAAACACGCGACACGGCAACAAGCGTGCAAATTGACTCTAGGGAGGAGGGGAGACAGCTCTCTCCAATGATTTGAATTTGGACTGCAGTACCAATTTTAAATGCTATGTGTCAAAGTTACATATTGCTCCTTTAACAATTTTCAATGCAACCACTTTGTATTCTAAAAATGTTGTTTTTATGACACTGTCACGCTCTTCATAAAAATAAATATATTCAGAAAGCTGAGGAATAAGTGAAGAAGTAAAGTAAGCCTTGCTCACCTTAGCTGCTTGATAGTCACCAAGCCTGTTATAATCTCTGGTTGAAGGGAAACCCCAGCTCATTTGTCACTCTACTGCTCCTAAAACCCACATTCACGCCCTTCTTTTCTTCTTTGGCAGGTGTAAATACTGTGACCGCTCATTCAGCATCTCATCCAATCTTCAACGCCATGTTCGTAACATCCATAACAAGGAGAAACCCTTCAAGTGTCACCTCTGCAATCGCTGCTTCGGTCAGCAGACCAACCTAGATCGACATCTCAAGAAGCACGAGCACGAGAACATTCCTGGTCAGTTTGCAATGTATTTACCTCAGTTTTTTGTTGAAAACTTCAAATTATGATATCTGAAAAGTAGGTTGTTGTTTTCTAAGATTTATTTTGGGGCTTTATTTAGACAGGACAGTGGATAGAGTAGGAAATCAGGAGAGGGAGAGACATGACATGCAGGAAAGAAGCCGTAGGCCGGCATTGAACCCGGGCTGCCCACTTGGGGGACAGAAGCCTCCTTACATGTGGTGAAACAACTTGAAGAATTAAAAAAAATTAAATCTATAAATGCACCAAAGTATTGAATCTGAAGTAAGACTCATCTCCACAGTGAAAGACTGTTGTGGAACTGGACGTGTCCTGTGTGTGTTTCCTTGATGATGTCAAAAGATAACATGTCTGATCAGTTTGGTGACTGAATATAAAAGGGATAGGCTCGTATTGTTCCAGTAGTGAAACAACAGGGAAATATGCAATTGATGTTATAAAGATTTAATTTCAATTGTCTTCTGCCTTTTGTCACTGTTCATTTTTCAAACAAAATTCCTAGAAAAGTATCCCGTTTGTAAAATACATTCCATCCAGTTTTTAAAAAGTTCAAGTCGGAAAAACGACACACCTTTAGGTTTTAAGATTGTATGAAAACGTAACATTGTATTCAGTATTTTTTTTCTTGAAACTGGTCTAATACTGTACGTATATCTGATGATTGTCAAACTAATCATGCTTGTATGTTTGTGTGTATGTGTGTTGCTGGTGTGCATGTCATTCTTGTGTTTATATGTCTGCACGCTCTCCTCACAGTGAGCCAACAGTCTGGGATGCTTTCCAACCTAGGAACCACCATCTCCTCCCCGAACTCCGAGCAGACAATCATGCACTTTTAGATGAGAAGGAGGACTCATACTTCTCAGAAATCCGTAACTTCATTTCCAATAGTGAGATGAACCAGGCCTCCAGCTCCACCGATAAGAGGTAACGAGAAAACCGACTTGCCATGACCACATTTAACATATGTGCAGAGACCATGAGGCCAGAGATGCATGAGTCTAACCATTGAGTCTCAATGCCAGGTTCTTAAGCTTACCCAAGTCACTTTCTGTATTTCACTGTGATACTCAGAGGCAAAAGAACAAGAGGAAGAAAATATCTCTCCTCTTATCAAGACTGAACAGAAAACAAAACAAACCCACTACTACAGTTCAGCTCTTTGTTCTTCTTCCTTCTGCTTTGACACAAAATCTCTTGATAGACTTGGTGAACAGTGCCCTCTAGTGGCTTGGATTTGTATAGCATTAGATTCCAATTTAGGAGCTGTATCCCAATTACACATTTTCTAATAACACTAGCTGGAGTGAGTAAGTGTTGCTGTAATCAAATAGAAAGTAGTTCATTTTTTATGGACGTAGTATTTTCTGTAAAAAACACATATTGGACAAAAGTATATTTAGACATCACTCAAGCATTCTGTTTTTTTTATTACTTACATTTTTTGTATGTAATTTTGGCACCTATCATCTCATATCCCCACTTCACATGAGGCCATCTCAACTATTTCTTTTTTCTCAGTCTGATTCATGTCCCAAATTATATTTGAGGTCTTTTTTTCTGCATCTGGCAATAGTTGGTGAATTTTCCAAACTTTTCATTGATCATTGTGTATGTGTTTTTAGCCCTCTAAAAAAAGTTATATATTTCTTTAACATTTTGTTTTCTTCTAAACTTAAAGCCATTCGTCTGTTTGAGGTGACTTCATGCTTTGAGTCCTGAGATACTTTCAGTGTCAGCAGTTCTATTGTTAAGAAAATTTATGCAAAAGTAGCATATCTGAAAGGAAAAGGAGCATAAAACGTTTTTCTCCCCTAGTCAGTGGTTTTGCTTCTTTTGATGATTCTTTATGCCATTCATGTTTTCTCTCATTCTCCATGTGAATTCCTTTCTGGTAGTGTCACTTTCTGCCCGTCTCTTCTTCCATCATCCCCCCCTCCCTCGTGTCAACACACATTATGGTCAGCAGACCCAGTGGCAATTTAGCCTTTCTGCCATCTGGGATCAATACTGAGTCTCATCCACAACAAACTGGCCTGACATTTTAATATCTGTAATTCAGACTAAGTATTATGTTTTCTGTCCTCCCACCAGACAGCCCTCTGTTTATTCTCCCTCTGAGTGACTGAAGTCCGACACAGAACACAAACACACATTCATGGATGACTATCTGTAATGGCTCTTAACCACCCTCACAACCTAGTCTCTCCCCTCTTTGAAACTCCTTTTTTTCTGCATCATATCCAGTCAAAAGGGAAGTCTCTAGGTAGCTGTCTTTTTCACATGAAAACTTTGTTTGACCAGTTTCCAGACTGAGAATGTCCTAGATGCTGAGGCAGCACTGCTGCTCTGAGGGTGGGAAATCTTAAACAAAATAGTTACGGGGTTTTGATGTACAAGACATTTCCAAAGCTGCAGTGTTGAAGGACTAAGAGGAAACGGTCTCCTCAAGACCACAATCCAGGACATAATTAGAGCTGGAGTAAGGGCCCGGTCGTGGCTTGAGCTCTATGGTTTGGCTAAAACTCCAGCTGGAGCCGGTTCCCTGCGTTGGACTGGGCTGCGATGGCTGGCAGTTTAGACCCTGAGGGGGACTTAGGTTGATCCATTTATCTAGGAGATCCACTGATGATGGAGCTCTTCCCCCATCCACACGATACATCCGTACCCCCAGCCGGCTAACACAAACACCCAACTGAAGTGTTTAGACTGAATGACAAAATCCAGGCCCCTCTATGTCAGAGCTACGCTTCTTTCTCCCTACACAGGCATGGACTTTCCCCCCACCTACCAGCTCTGCAATTTGATTATGGTGATATTTAATCTAGATTGAAAGAGGAGAACTTCATTTTTCCCCCATAGTCCCCCTGCCCGACTTTACCCACCCACTGTGTGTGACCCAATCCTGTCCCAGTGCTCCCCTTCCCAGAGGTAATCCTGTCTGGTTTGATAAATGTCCACAGTGTGGCAAAAAATGGAAAGGGTAAATTTGCCGTCCCATAGGAAATGATATCATGAGCCATGACATCGTGGTCTGGGGGTGATGGGGAGGAAGGGGGGGTTGTGGTGCTGGCTGGAAAATGTACAGACGACAGGCCATAATGGTGGTTTGCTGATAGCCTGTTTGCAGATCAGCCATCGTCTTCCCTCAGTCTCACAAAGTATGTTCCACCATTAACGGGACGAGAAGAACCGCTCTGGGGCAGGGGCATCTCCTGCTCTGTTTCTGGCGAGCTGGCCAATTAATCATGTGTGGGACGTTTGAAAAGTGCCCCCGGCACACTGTCAGCACCCGTGTTGTTTGTGTGGACACTGGAGTCGGCCTGTGTGTGCTGTCTACAGATTATTTATGTTTCTCCCTCTGCTTGTGATGAGTCATGTCTTCAGGTGGTTGTGAGAAGGTACCAGCCTCCCAGTTACTCACTCAGAGAGCAAACTGAAAGAAGCTTTTCTCACTTTCTGACCAGTGTTGGCAAACAAAAAGGAGCCCTTACAGAAATGAATCATCATTTACGTTTTTGATACTAAGTATCTAGAAAAATATTTTCACATCATTGCAGTCAATCAAACAATCAAACAATCAAACAATCAAACAATCAAACAATCAATCAATCAATCAATCAATCAATTTATCAATCAACCAACCAATCAATCAATTAATTGATTGATCAATTGATTTAATTGATCAATCAATCAATTGATCAATCAATTAATTGATCAATTAATGAATTGTTTTTCTTTAAAAAGCACCAAATTATGAAAATGGTTATCTCCATTTAACCATTTAACTAGTTAAGTAGTCTGGACCTATTCTTTGTTACATCGTTACAGAGATTCAAGCTTATTCCACCTGAATCAAGCAAACAGTAACAGTAGCATGGAAAAAGCTTGAGCAGAACCAGATCCAGTGGTGTGCAGTTACTGTATCTGCAGCGACTGGATGGGTGACACTGTAGGTGTTTTTGTTCCCCAATGCATCTCAAGCTGACTGACACAGTTCCTGTGACTCTGATATGAAGCGTAGTTCTCCTTAGACCTTTCCTGTTTGGCAACTGAGACTTTACACAACTTCTTCTGGATGCTAGGAGACATTTTTTCTGTTTTTGTGATAATGTTTGTAATGTGCATTCTAAATGGCTATTTTATGAACACAAACGTCAGGAATAGAAGAGGGAAAAGGAAGCAGTTTGGGAAACAGTAGTTATTATTATCATTAATAACCCTTCTTCCCTACTCTAATCCTTCTGCAGATCGGACCAGACTGAGGAGGAGCGCCCGCCCAGCCACAGTTTGTCTAACTCCAAGCTAGGGCTCCACGGGCTGGAGGAGGAGGAAGAAGAAGTGGAGGGAGACGATGAAGAGGAGGAGGAAGGCAGCCTTACAGAGAAGTCTCATGACGAGGCGCCCGAGTCCCCATCTCCACTCACAACAGGGGTGTATGAGGAGGACGAGGAGGAGGAAGAGACAACTCCATTAGCTATGAGCTACGAACACACGCGCAGGTATTGATTTTGTTGATGGTACAGAGAACCACATGAAACATGATTTAAGTACACTTTCACAAGCCTCTTCACAACCGAAAATGTACAGCATAAAGTGGTTGTGTTATCAAAAATTAGACTAAAAGAGCCAGTTATGCCTTCTTATATTCTAAATAATTTCAATACTTGAAAAAACGCCGTACTGAGGAAAGGCAGAAGTAAAGACCAGTTTAAACAAAAGTAGGTTTCTTTATAGACAACCAAAATAAGAAAAGTCAGTGTAGCCAATGAGATCAGTTCTGCACCTATTCTTTTGTCCTTTCTCTTCAATGAATTTTATTCCCTCTCTACCTGTCCTTCTATTAAAAGTACCTCTTCTTTTCTCTTCACCTCATGTCCTCTTAACCTAAATGTCCTCTACATCTCTCCATCTACCCCTCGCTGGTGTCCATCTTTTCAACTATTCTCCTTTCAAACTGTCCACTAACTGACCCATTCATACCGTCCATACTATTTATATTTGCCATCCATCCATCCACCCATCCATTATTCCATCAATCAATGTTTAGGTGTATAGAGGAGGAGGGCTCTCTTTTGGACCTGGAGGGTCTGCCCAGCTTTCCCAAGAGCCTGGAGGGGTTACGTAAAGCAGCCAGTGACGAGCAACCCTTTGATGTTAAAGACATATTTAACACTTCACTAGAGTCGGAGGCACTGAAAGAGACACTGTACAGGCAGGCTAAAACCCAGGTATGTGGCTGGCCTCTTAATGTCCAAAATAATAAAATATAATAAAAATATGATGAAAGAGATAGTCATTGGACATCCCATATGCAGTTGATATTGTCTGAAACTGCATCTAAATAGTGCCTCTGGTCCAGCCCCCTGCTTGTCTTTTCCTCTATTTTAATCTACTAACAAACAACGTGTAAACTTCTCTTCTCTTTCTTCTGATCTTCTGTCCTTAATCAGTTTTAAAATAATATTACAAGGTAGTAAAACATTAAAGGACAGTTATGGTTTATAATCATGAATTAGAGCATGAATCAGAAGCAGACTGAAACGACATTTTTTATTAATCATTGTAAATGATGGACACAGAGTAAAAAAAAAAAACATCTTAAAGATCTTAAAACAAAATAGCCCTCAATTTCTCAGCAGGTCATTGACACAAACAATGTGTGTTTGAAAAAAGTTTCTCTCTTGTTAAAAATCACATTTCTTCTTCCACAGGCTTATGCAATGATGCTGTCACTGTCGGAGAACAACCCTTTGCACGCGCCCTCCCAGAACTCTCTGGATGCTTGGCTGAGCATGGGAGGTGGATCGTCAGAGACGAGCAGCTTTCACCCACTCAACCACATCTAGACGAGAGGCAGAGAGAGGAAGTGGGAGAACGAGTAACAGGAACATTAGTTTTGCGAATGGATAGAAGCAAGAGTCTGCTTGGACTTGAGTAGTGAGAAAATGTGGACACGAGAGAAGAATTTGAGGTTGATTACATTCAAGATGGAAAGAATATGTTGTGTGTGTGTGTGTGTGTGTGTGTGTGTGTGTGTGTGTGTGTGTGTGTGTGTGTGTGTGTGTGAGAGAGAGAGGGGTAAGAGGGAGAAATTGTTCTCAAGTGAGGCCTCTCATAAGACTCTGTCAAAGAGAAAGCACTGCGAAGCTCCTGTTGATGTGAAGGACATGATGAATGCTTATCAACAGCATTGAAACTCTGCGTTACTCTGATCCTCCCCGAGTCGACCAGGCTCACTGCAGCCCCAGAGATCTGATGTAAGGCTCTCATAAAGACACTTAATGACTAGTATGTCTCTAAAGTCTTTGTACAACGCCTACTTTAAGCACTGCAGCAAAAGCACTGCATTAGCACTGCATGTCCACAGGGTGGTGTTGTTTCACTAGGAACATAGTGGGTGTGTGCACTAATGTCTCCAGGTTTTCCCATCAATCATGGGCAACTCATTTACTAATCTTGTTTCAGCTATAACTGCAGAATCGACAATAGCACCACACTAACTGTTACTTGAGGAAGTGACAGTTCCAGTAAACTGTTGATTTTCTAATGATTACACGGAGAATGATGTCCAAATGTGCACAACAACTGGTGATTTACTAGCCATTGCAACTGGTTACCCAATTTGATCATGCTGATATGAATTTAAATCATACTCAAAAATGAGAAAAGTCTTTCTCTGCTTATTTTATCGTCATCGTTTAATTGTATTTACTTTTCCCTCTTAGATACCACAGTATTGTTTCTTTGTAGGCACCACAGTGCTAAATTGTTAATATAATTATTTTAGAGAAGGACCAAAATTGTATGATATTGTCATATGATGTACAAAATAACCTAGATGTTCATAGCAAGAGTGGTATGTGCCAAATAACCCATAGAAAATGTTTTGTTCTCTGACAATCATTTCATTTCCAAGGGGCTTGCCTTTGCTGTCATTTTGTTTTCTTTTTACACTCTTAAATTTGATTTCAGAAGTGTGTGTATGTATTTATTTTTGGTTGTTTTGTCATGACTGGAGCAGTAGAAATGAAGGAAAGTCATTTTGTCCCTCCGTTCTTGTTGCTGAAGGAATGAACACCTATCAGAGTGTGAGGGAGATTCTGAATCTCTGGTTTTGATGCGTAAGTGTGCCAAAATGGTAAGAACCCATGAAATTAATTGTTTTTATTTATAGTGGAAAATAGCTGTAGTTAGTTTTAGATCCAATTTGGCATTGTAATGTTCTGCAGTATTTAGTTTTTTTTTTTTCTTCTTTCACTTCAACCAGTTTACCCAGAATGCTGAATGTGTCTTGCTCAAATTGGTTCAGGTGTTATTGAAGGGAGGGAGGGGGGGTCTTGGACAACTTGAGCTATGAATGTCAACAAAGGGCATTACATTATAATTCTGTTGAAATCTGACTTGTTTCTATAACATCAAGAACCCCTTTTCCCCTCTGTTTTCCAAGTTATACAGACAATGTAACAAACACATATTCTCTTTAAACTAGTTGCCCGGTATAGTCCTAACAATAAAAGAAAAAACAAATTAACCTCCTTATGAACATCCAATATTCATTCAAGTGACAAAACCTCTGTTAGTGCAAGACGGAAGAATCTAACATAAACAAAGATTTAAGAAAACTACAGCTAATGTTAATATGAGCATCAAAACTCTGCTGGTCGGTCCTTTTAACACATTCTAAAATGTCTTCATGATTCTGGACAGGAAACACAGACATTTGAATATAAGTTGTAACTTCATATTTCCTGCTTGATCATATTAGAAACTCATTCCATGTGGACTTCAAGGTAGCTGTGCCATGGAGGGCATGAGTCATTTACTGTAGATAGCTGTAGATAGCTACAGGAGGCAGAGGAGAGGGAGCATTGTTGATCATTGTTGCCTTGATCCTCCCTGCGTACTGGGACTTTTCAGATCTATAGGCCTGATGCTGTATTCTCAAACCAGTACTTAAACCATATGGGTCCAAGCCATAACATGATCAGGCTTAGGTCTCTAGAACTTCAAACACAAACATTTTCAGATGAGTTTCACTTGGAGTAGATGAGCAAATCTTGCTCAACATGGAGATTTAAGAAAATCTGAAACACAAGCACTGTAATTTTTCTTCACCACAGCAGGTGGTAGAATGATGCTACGACTGATGCATCATCTCATTTTTCTAAAGAAAGAAGTCTTTTTTATAATTCTACTGAATGATCTTTCATTCATGGTGAACACATGTTTTCCCACTTGTGGTTATAAAATGTAAAGACTCCGATTGTTAAGTTTTTAGTTTGACTATATGTAGTAATTCATGTCATGGACTACTGTAATAAGTACGCGATGTGTAAAGCGAAGGAATTAAAGGCATTGAAGTTTTCTGGTTCTCCAACCTCAAAGTATTCTGGCAGATGGTTGCTGAAATATGTTTCAGCATTATAGAACATGGTTGCTGCCCCCCCCCCCCCCCCCACTGTTACAGGAGAAAGTAAAAATATACATATTGTTTCTTTTTAACTGTATAGTACTCTAAAGAATGAAAAACAATGATGCATTTGTCTGAAGAAAAAAAAGCATTGAAAAATATGGGTTTAAATGAATGGTGCTTGTTTTGTTTGGATCTGAGTTGTATATCTCCTCTGTTATGTTTATTGAAAACAAAAAAAAAAGATATTGTGCATGACGTGTTTAGCAGTCATAATGATGTCCATTTGTGAAATGCGTATCAAATCAAAAAAAAAAGAAAAAAAGAAGAAAAAAATAAATCCGTAGATGCACTTATTGTACATGTGATTAGGTTAGTAGGTTTGACTTCAAGTTCTTGACTGCCTTACAGGTGGCTCTGAAAGACATAGATAAGACTTGTGGTACAAGACTTAATGAAAAAAACAATTAAGGATTGTAGAATAATATTGAACAATTCTGAAAATTGCAGTTCTTTTGATGCTTGTGATTATTGAAGATGTACTTTAGAGAAAATTCATTGAAAAGATATGACTGATGTTAATTCTGTAGAATAGCAATGTATACCAAATGTAATCTTTCCAATGCTATGAAGAATTTATACATGAAATTGATATGCAATAAAACCTGTGTGCTTTTTAAATGAGGTGGTCACTTTTTTTATGAGCTTTCAGATTGATCTGCATTTATTTTGGTCCTTGGCATGGGTGCTTGAATTTACTTTTTGCAGCCTGTTTCTCCGAACAGCAATCATATGGAGACTTGTGAATGCCCTTATAGGCTACTGAACTATAGACCCTTCAGCTGGTCCTCAGCATAGACTGTATCCTTTCAGGACTTTATTGTACTTCATTAACCAAGTACATCGAAGTACATCAGATATCAATGACAGGACCAAGGTTATAAACTCTGATACGGCAAATACAGAATTGAAAATACAATTAAGTAAATATTTTTTTTAAATATGGCAGACAAACGTTTTTTTCCCAGTAATGCAAATTTTTTTTCTTTTGCTCAGGGGTGATTTACATGCAAATAAAGTAGCATAATATTAATTCAGTTACAAGAAAAAGAGAATGGAGAGAAAGAAAGGATGGTCAAGTATGGAACAGTTATTCATAACCTGGAAAGAGTTTAACAGGCTGATATAAAGTCAGGCATCAGCCTGTATCTACAAAGTTCATACATAGTGTAGATCAAGTTATAAATTATAACAAAGCTGTAATCAGAAACACACGACTGTAGGGAACATAGAATACTCATTAAGCTGCCGGAGAGGGAGACAGATAGGAAAGAGGAGGAACTAACGATTATTGTAAATGTTTATTCTCTGTTATTTAGGACGATCAATATTATAATATAATTGTATATTAACCTGGTTTTCATAAGAGGGGGAATAAATTGAGTTTGATATTTGTTTTAAACTACGGCAGAAAAACTTAAATCAAATAAATTGCAATTCAAGTGTCACAAAAAGCTTTGGTTTTTAGAGCTGTGAGATTTGTACAATAATTTCATGTCTCCAGGTAGGATTTTACTTGTATTGTAGGACATGATGACAAAAAGGCTAAGATTCTGTTTCAAACATTTGCTTGTGTGTGTATGTCATTTTACTTATATGAGACCAAGATTAATGACACACTTTTTTGGGGGAAGTTTTTCCTTATCAACAAGACAGAAAAATGAATTTTAGTTAAACATCACATTTTTGATTCCAAAAAAGATTCAGATCAGTCCAGAAAATCAGACTTGAAAGTAGTCCCTGAAAAGGTGTGATCCATACAACCCTTGAAAATAATGGATGTAGCCAGCTTGACGTCATCCATATAGTTACTCGACTGCAAAAATCAGTTTGGTTCCCTTTGTTTTCTGGAGCAAGAAGTGGCCATAATTGAAGGAATGGGTGGTGCTAGAGAAGACTGCTTATCAAAGTTAATAAACCAAGCAGTCAACACCTGTGGATTCACTGTCAGCTCGTAAATCAGGGTAGGCCTACCCTCAAGTTTCCAACAAGGTGAGAGTTTGCTGTTGGGGAAAAACCATCGTCAATACTGATCCCTAGCACTGGTTGACTTCTGCACATTTAAAAAAAAAAATTAACCAGGTTGGTCCCACTGACATTAAGAACCTCACTGGCAAAGACAGGCAGCAGCAAAAACACAAAGTCACAGACAGAGACACAGAGAGACAAAGTACAATTTACAAAACACAACATTTTGCATTCAAATAGAATCATCTATAAGTCAAATCTGGGAGTCAGTAGTTCAAGCAGTCTGTCGCTTTGCATCTCCCTCTATCCCCTCTCAACTCCAACTCAGTTACAGCAGATGTTTCTGTGCTTGTGGTGGATTAATGTTGGGTTTTGTAAATAATATAACAAAGAGAACGGTCTAGACCTGCTCTTTTGTTTATTAAAAATACCAACTTTTGTTTCAGTTATGGGTCTAAATGTTGGTCAGTCATTAAAATACATTTTGCATATGTTAAAGTAAAGACAATAAATAGTTCATGTTGAAAATTATTTGTTCATGATTTTATTTCTTTGTTAAAAAAATACATTATATAACAAATGTTATATTTACACGGGCACAGTCCAGCTATAAATACTGGATAAATACAGAAGATTAGACTTTTGAAGCATGTAGTAAAACGGTACTCTTTTCTATCAAGAAGTTCATTTAAAAAGCCAACATTTTTCCATTAATCTCTTTAATTACTGCACTTCTTTAATCAGTGGTAAAAGAAAACATCCTTGTTGCCTAACATTGTGTATTTGGATGCAAATCGAAAAGAATAAGATGAGTTAAAAAAATATATATAAATTGTTATGCTTTTGATACTTTCATCAACAAACACTGACACACTGCTGCAGTGTGTGTAGCTTAATTAGACAGCTGAAAATATCAAAGACAGTTTCCATCTCACATGGTAAAAAGCAGGTGACCACTGAAGGTGCTAAGGTGATTTTCATTGTCATATATCCTTGTGTTAACGCACAGACGTAAAAACACAACCTCTCCAACCGCTAGAAGCAGAGTGACTCCATTAGAAGAACTACCATAATAAGAAGGTTGCTGCTCCCATGCCATAAAAACCTGCTCTCCATTCTTCACCAACACAGCACATGTGGCATGGGAAGCATCTCCATGGGCACCTATGTAGAACTCAAAGTGGTAGGCTCCTCTCAGCGGTGCAATGAAGAAGCCTGTGGGACATTTTTTAACAGTGGATGTTAATGCAGAATTGTCTTTGCATCATTCTTCAACCAGGCTGCACTTCATACTGTCAAAATGTGTGATTAATTATCCTGTTTAAACATTTAAGTACCTGTGTTTGGGTTGTAGGCACTTCCAATGTTTGTGACGACATGCGTGAACCTCAGAGGCGTGTCTGTGTTAAATGGTCCCACATACCCTGATCCTGAAGCCAACAGAGAGGCTGAGAAAGCCACCTGTTTGACTGAGAGAGAGAGGGGGGGGGGGGGGAATGTCATTGTTTTAAACGTACTTTGGATGCAGCAACGTGGTCATCCTTTTATATGTTTTGGCTCTCCACCATTTAAAGATTAATTTTAAAGATTAATTTGATGGTTCCGTTTTGTTTTTTTACTTTCTCCATCTCTCCTCAGAGCCTCCACATGGTTCTCTGTCACGTTGGACCTGGCTTTGATGGTGATCAGCTCTTCTGCTTGTGCTGGAAAAAAATAACATTGTGACACATTTGATTATTAGAACTACAGTAAAATGGTCACCGCTGCATACAGTATGATTTAATTTTCTTGGCCAATGTATCAGCTCAAATATCTTGCTGTTTTCCTTTACTTATTCAAATGGTACTTCTGTTATTTTTTAAATTTGTTTCTCTTTTTGTTAACATTTTTCACATGTAAAAAATTGACAAAACATAGACATTGATGATACCATAGACCTGATGTTCTCCACAAAATACCTTGAAGTTGTTGCTTTTGCTTCTCCACATCAGCCTGCTGTAACTCCAGTACTCTCAGTTTAGCTGCTTGTGCTTTAATAGAGAAATGTCTTCATGTTAGATTTTATTTTACTGGAGGATCAACCTCCTTGGTAA